ATCTTATAGGCCTTGTCAGTCTTTACCAAATTTTAGCTCTTCCACTATATTCAATATCTGCCTACCACTGTTCAAATTAACCTTTCCAATTTCTCTCTGAGCCCTCTTTATTTGGTAGGAGAAGTAAAACCTGATTGCCCAGATCCTTACTGAGATTCTAGAGTGGACTGTAGCTGCTCTTTCACTACAGTATCCAAAGAAGCTCTGCAAGCTAATGTTGATTGACTTCCAGTTAACTATAAAAGAATCCACTGCAGCAAATTATGTATGAACAATCTTTGTGCCAGTAACTAATGATGCATGTCATTCCAGAAGTTCATGAAGCATCTACATCTTCCATGCTCTGCTCCAGGAAATACCCATGGTTGTAGGTGATCTCATTGAAACCTATCTAATTCCTATGTCATCACTGAAAGAATTTAGTTGGAAAACCAAGAAAGGCAACAGATTTGCAGGGCTATGTCCACTGCACCCGGACCAGACACCTCCAGCCCAACATGCAAGAATTTTCTGGACTGGTTGCTCTCTGGACCCATAATCTGAATTAATAATCTGTTACAATCATTAGTCTTTGTTTGCCTTCTTGCTTTCCTAGAAATCCCCCTTATGAAAAGCCCAATGGCTCGTATCATCCAGTAAATACTTCTGTGTGTCAGAGTTGGTTCAATTAGTCCTTCAATAACAGTAAGCCACTGAAATGAGCAATATGATCCAGTTCTATCAAGTTGTACATTCGGAAAACCTGGTTTCCCGGAACAAAGGAAGAACTGACAAAGCTGTGCTTACCTCAGCACACTCAGTGTGACTAAATTGGAGCCAGGTTTCTTCCTGACCTTCAGTCTGATTTTCCTTTTCACAGAGAATTTCCTCTAGAAAGCCTTCTATCATCCATTGACGCCCTCTTTCCTTGAGCTGTAAATCTCTCAGCCTCTGCTTTACCTCCAAGGAATGTCTTTCTTAAGAAGCCAGAAATCACCCTTTTGAAAGGTACTTATCAAGGTAGTTAGTTCCCCTATATACCAGTCCCTGGAAGGCTAGGACTCTAACTTCTGTAAGATCCAATTAGTGACCAACCTCCCTCTAACGTCTGCCAGTACTTTTACACTGACTTACCTAGCACTTAAAAGTTCTCCTCTATTTTGCTTCCACAGAACTGAATCCAATTTCTCTCTCTTCCTGAAAAAGTTTTGAATACATTCTTCCTTGCCTGTTCAATTATCCAGTAAGTTTTCTTGGCAACATTCATAGCTATGTGAAGACAAGCAGCCAAGGCTTTTTTTTTTTTTTTTTGGTATTCAGTTACTTTAGTGGTCAGTCATAATTCCGTCATTTCCGTGTGGATGTGACATTATGGGAAATTATATTTCTTACATGGTAAGGAAGAGCCAGGAAAACAGCATATTGTGTTTATTATAGACTACAGAAGGGAAATCATTCTTGAGAGGAAAATAAAACCCTAAACTCTCACCTCATCAATAGGAAAGTATTTCAATCAGTAAACCTTAACATAAAATGTTGTATTTCCACACCTCATATTTTAATAAAGTTTGAAAAGAGGTAGGCAGTTTTATGACAGATAAACAGTCTACCCCAGCTCATTATTGAAAGCCTTCATTAAAGATTAAAAACACAAGACCCTTTATAGAAATTCTAAACTGGTCCCTGGATCTTAGCATTCAATTATCATTTGTGAAATCTGAAATCAACATATTTTATGTCTAAATTGAGAGTACATTTCAAAATCAAAATTCAAAGGCATGCCTTCTAGTGGGCTGACTGATGGAAAAGGGCTGTGATTATGCCTAATTTTCACCCTCTATATCACGATCTCATTGATTATGTTTCTCAGCTTGCTAAGGGTTCTATGAGGTGATTTTCAAGATGAATATTGCTATTTGCAAGATTTCCTGAATAGGAATATTTTGGGAGTAAATTGCACAAACCAAGCTCTGTGCAGTCAATTTTCACTCCAGCATAAACAATGTATTAGAACAGAACCCTTAAGGCTTTTTTTATTTGGGTTTCATTACACAGCTAGCTGCATTTCATCAATAAGCATGAGGTGCTAAGCAGGCAAAACTGAGGATCACAGAGGGTATTATATTTTCCTAACAGGTACTCAGAGTTGGACTAGGAAAACAAATGACCTGAATGTCAAGGGCTTCAGGCCCTTTACTACAGAGGTAGCCATGGCCACCACAACCAGGAAAAGAAACGAGCTTTTCTTAAATTTAAAAATAGGCCTTGGGACCTAGCTGCTTGTACATCTACTTTATTTGCATTAACTCATTGCTGATATTTACTTTGAAAAGCAGTTTGTTTTGTGTTAAAATATGAGTATGTTCTCAAAAGTGGTTAAAAAACTTTATTTTTAGTTTTTGGTAGGTTAAAGCTTAGCAGAGAAAAACCCATTTTCCCATGTTTCTCTAATTGAAAAAACTTTAATCTCTTTAAGCAGAGAGCTTCAGCAGGCTATAAAGACGAAAATCCCATACCTTGCAGCAGAAGAACTCTGTAATCTTAATAAATCATTTATTAGGCAGAAAGTAGAGAGAGAAGGTAGACAAAGAGGGATAAAGAACGAGGTAAGTGATTAAATTATTCATACAGGCCACCATTTCCTAATTACAAGCTAGGGGGTTGAGAATTATCAGGAGAAACACTTGAGTTATTATATGTATGATGTTGTGTTCTTTTTGCCTTGGATACAGCCACAAGCAGAAGGAAAGAGCTGAAGGAAAAGTTTTGAAATCTGAATTCTAGAGATGAACATCATAGATTAGGTACCCAAGGCCAAAGCCAATGACCTTTCTGCAAAGGGAAGAAGCAGCTGCCTCTTCTTCAGTGATGCAGACCCGGCCACAGGAGGTGAATGGCATGACTCTGTAATACACACAGCATTGAGAGCACTGACACAGAACTTTTGTAAAGGCAATAATTTATTAGCATAGCTAAGGGCGATTTGCACTCCAAATTGGAGATACTCATTTGGCAGAGAAGTGTAGTCCATGCACAAAGACCCAATGTATTCAATATTTGAGAACCATGTAGGGAGGGGGTAGAATAAGACTAGTGTCATTTTGCTTGAGTCAATACGATACATCTGTTTCAGGGGATTTTGTTATCCTATCTTTTAAATATATTATACAAACAATGGTAGTTAACAGAGAGCACATACCTCATTATTTTAATGAAAAGGTATGTTTTAACAAGATATTATATTTGAATGTAGACGAATAGGCTTCTAGCTGTGAGTCAACAAAAAGCTATTTCTGGTTAAGGGAAAGGAGTTTATGCACATTCCTCTTTGTAATACTTAATCAAGGACTTTAAGAATACAGTGGATCCAAGATATCTGGGAATCTGGCTGAGGTAACTGTATATTGGTCCAAGTAACTGTACTTCTTTGTTTGGATTATTTATGGAGTACAGAAGCATCAGTATTAAGAGGTAGCTGCCCTGCTGAATAGGAGCTAGTGCAACGGCTGTGAGGATATTATGTACTAGCCAAATTCTAAAACTTAAGGGATTCTGGAACTGATGATGTTGCCGAATTGAATATATTTTCTGCACTGTCCAGTCTTGCCACTTATGACCATGCTTGAATCCTGTGCACTGAGATATCAGAAACCATGTGTTAGTGTTAAGATCTGCACTGTACCATTAATTTGCAGGCTGTGTTGCAACTTGTCTTGTACATTTTCTTAGTGCCCTCACAATTTGCTACCGGGTAATGGCCATTGTTAGTTATCAGTTTGATTGTCAGACCCAATCCAAGACCATGCTATTGACTTAGTAGAGTGAGCCCTGTATTGATCAAATGATGTTTTTACCTGTGACTTATATAGTGGCATCTGCTTTGGGGGAATAGCTATCAAAATACTAAATATAAGGGCCGGCCAAATAGTTCAGTGGATTAAAGCACCTGCAAGCAGATGCAGGGGCTGCGGGCTTGATCCCTAAGCCTGCCGTGCCAGCCCCGTCCCCGGGGAGCACTGAGAGGGCAATTGAGACTGGGCATTGTGGTGCACACCTGTAATCCCAGCACTTGGGAGTCTGGAAACAGGAGAATCACTATGAGTCTGATCTAGTTGTGAGACCCTGAACATTCTGTAGACCCCTCCCTAAAATACAGAAAAATAAATAAATAAAAAATAGTAGGTGCAAATGTCAGAAATAAGTAAGGTAAAAGGAATGAAGAATGCTTTGCAAATATAACACATTTTAGCAGGAGCAAACATCTCTAGCACTCTACTCATTCATTATCTTCATTTGAACACACTTTTCCAAAATTTATCCTAAGATATTTAGATAAAAATCAATTTAAGCAGGAACTCCACAAGTATGTCTTACATGCAGTTAAAGTAGAATAGATTACAGTAACAAATACGATGCGGGCTCTCTAGATATATGAGCTTAATGAAGAAATTTCTAGTAAATGATAGAATAAATGAAAAATGCTAGTCTAATAACGATAATTATAACAATAATGGTAATGACAAAGATTTTTTGCTTACTCAAACTTTAGTCAGATTGCTAAACTTCTCATAGGCCTATGATATCTGCATAAAAATCCAGTTAGCAAAGAATCCTGTTAAATCAACTTAGCTAGAACCCCTTACTCTTGGTATCAGATCAAACTCAATACTGTCAGATGATGTTTGATTCCCTTGCTTTGTTTTCCACAAACAGTTTGCTAGTTCGGTAGAATCTGACCTCACACTGATGTTTCTCATAGTTCCTTTCCACTAGGTAGTTCTCACCCTGTTTCTGGGCTCTGAATTCCCACTTGCCTGTGCTCTATTCAGATTTAAGCCTAATTGCACAAACCTGCAACAAAATCCCATTCCAGTGGTCTCTGTCCCTATTATGATGTCCTAAATGAAGTCCTTTTTACCACACTTTTACAAGTAATTTTTCTTTAACAGTGACAATGATGGTAATGAATTCTAGAACATTGCTGTTCCTTGGAGAAGCAACACATAAAGCAAAGTTCTTACCTTAATGTCAAACGGTCCAGTTAGATTTTGGTTACTGTAAATTTCCAGCTGACTCCTAATAGGAGTGAGCCACAGCAGCAGGTGATCTAGCTGCTCCTCATGCTGCCCAAGGTCTTTTATGTGAAGCTCAAGTTCTCTTTGTTTTTCAGGTAAAGCTCTAGAAACCTGAGACGGGAAAAAATTAACAAATGGTAAATGACTATGAGGACATGAACAAAAAGGCTGAAAAGTATTTTCAAAATTATTCATCATAATATATTATAAAAATTCACTGATGTTTGGCATATTAACAGCATGATATTAACATTTACTTTATTATGTGTTGGGATTTAATTGAAATATTGGCAATTATATTATTTCTCAAAACATTCTATACCTTAAAGTGAGGAATGCCTTTCTAGAAATTCAAAACACACAACTACACAAATGCATACCCAACCCCAAATGGCAAGAAGAAATGAATACTTCTATATGCAGCTACTCAGTAAACACAATTGTATTTTATGTATTATATACCAGTTTTACTGCTTTTGCAGTTATATAAAAATAAGTGAAGTTATTTAGCATCAGTGCCAATTATGTAAGACAGGGTTCCTAATCTTAGATGCATGATTTATAATTAAGGAATGTGATAAAGTTTGTAAATCCACAAGATATTTTTGCACTGAGGATTGAACTCAGGACCTTGTGCTTGCCAGGCAGGTGCTTAAG